GCTTAATGGATTAGTGAAAGATGATTAATTAGAGCTAGCAAAACTTGGGTTATGGTAGCTTGGAACTTCTGTAAGAACGTCCATCTTTTTTCAGTCATTCGATGTTTGCCAAATAGAATATGTTCTGCCAGGGCCGGTCCTGGATATTTAGGGGCCCAGGACGAAACAAAATTTTGGGATCCTCATGTACACGTGAACCATGGAACTCTTTTGGGTATTCGAGAAAAAACACATGAACGACGCCGTTGCCACCGTGACGCACGACTTTAGCAAGGAGATATTGCGATGGAAGCTCATGTTGCAAGCGTATGTTTCAAGTGTTTTAGGCCCCATTCGCTTGGAGGAATTTGAAGAAATCTGTATGAATCTGGAGGAATTTGTGAGAGGAAAACACCGTTCCGGATGAAAAAAAGAAGCGGATCAAGCCGGGTTTAAGGGCACGCGAATGGGGCCTTAGAGGTATGTTGCAATTGTTTCATATGGATGTTGCAAAAGTAGATCAAAGATGTTGCACATATTGCAAGTGTTTCAGAGGTATGTTGCAATTGTTTCATATTGATGTTGCAAAAGTAGATCAGGGATGTTGCACATATTGCAAATGGTTCAGAGGTGTTGTTCAAAATGTTTCAATTGTTCCAGACGTATGTTGCAAGCGTTCTGATCTGGATGTTGCACATATTTCACACATATATTGCAAGAATATGTTCCAAATGTTCCAGTCTTATGTTGCAGTACATGTTTTCATAGTCGTAAGTTGCAAGTATTTTATCTGAAGTTGCATATGTTTCACACATATGTTGCAAGTGTATGTTCTAAATATTTCAACTGTTTCATACGGATGTTGCATTCAAATGTTTCATGTTGCATGTGTTTCATACTGTTTGGAGAGTCAATGGGCACAGGGAGTGATGGTGGCACGGCACGGGTGTTGGAGAATGGGCTGCGGCGAGCTGGAGGCCGGCGGTCGGGTCACGACGAGGCGGGTGGGCGTGCGGGACGAGGCGGGCGGCTTCGAATCCAGGCGGACAGGGCGTGCTGTTGGGGTGAGGCGAGTCGTCTGGACGCGTGGGTGCTGCCACAGGGTGGGTGCGCGTGTGGGGCGGGAATAAAAATCAGCATCAACGCACGGGGGCAGGCTGCGCGGGCGTCCTGTCCAGACATCCAGGCGCTAGCATAGCCCGTTGGGGGTGGTTTGGGGGAGTTCGGATATTAGTGCATACCTAGTTCATACGAAGGTACGTACGTCTCGTTGAAGTCTCACTCCGAGTTGGCTGCCCGCCGCGGCGCCGCCGTTGAGTTGGATGATCGCGTCGCAGTTGCTGCGTTGTGTTCGGGATTTGCAATTTGGTTCTGAGATGAGAAGTCGCAGTCGCAGAGTCGACAAACAAATCGCAAACGCCAATCTGCTAGGCTGCCGTGGGCCTTAACGAGCCAACCAAGCCTTATACTGATAAAGCTACGTACTAAGTGTATACGTGGGGTGGGGCCCGTGAGATTGGGGCCAAGGGCGGCCGCCCCGCTTGCCGGCCCTCAGGACCGGCCGTGGTTCTGTCAGTTAACTTATTGCATTGACAGCTCTAAAGAATTCAGGATAATTAGGATTTCTGACCAATTACCATCTCTAGCTTTGCTTCTCTCCAATTTCTACTATTGAACTTGTCAAATCTAATACAAGCCTTCCCAATTTTTTACTTACAGAAAAATGCAGTTTTATTGGCTGATTGTCCATCTGACAGTTTTCTAGAAAGGGACTAAAATGTTGTTAAATCTCTGGTGAGATGTAAAGAATCAGCATTTGGTTTGTTAGTGAAAACTCATGATTTTGGCCATCTGCTTTGTAACATTTTTTGATGCATGATACTGAAAAGCATTCGTTTCCTCAAAAAAAAATACTGAAAAGCATTCTCTCATTAGTGTTTATTTCCAGGGCAATCTGCAGCATGAGTACACTGGCAGCAATTGTGTGCCTCTGGATGGTCCTGGAGTAAGGCAGGAGCTGATTGGACTTCTCAGATACCTCAGACTCTTCATGTTCTTCTCCAAGAAGCCATATGAAGTGTTCCTAGAGTTTGGTGGTTATGGACAGAGTGATATTCTCATAAGGAAGTCGAAGTCACAGGTTTGTATTACCCTGAGCCAGCTGATGTTCTACAGCATACGTTGCAAGTGGAGATACCTCATAGAACTTTGTGATTCTATTCAGTTTATGAAGCCTGCATTCACGGTTGTCCGTGATGAAAGTACCAAATCCTTCCTCCTTTTCATTCGGGGAGCGACCAGCACTAAGGATCGTCTGACAGCCGCAACTGCTGCAGAAGTTCCATTCCATTATTCAGTATTATTACAAGATGGACGTAGATCCCATTTAGTGTCTGGACATGTGCATTGTGGAATGGTTGCTGCCGCTCGTTGGATTGCAGATCAGGCCATTCCATGCTTAAGCAAAGCAGTCGAACAATTCCCAAACTACAGAGTTAAGGTAATTTAACACTCTTTTCTGATCCTATCAGTGTACACCATAAAAGATGCGCGTGGGGATTTAATTTATGTTGTCAAACAACACATGTTATTATGATTTATTTTGGTTAACCGAAAAAAATAATCACCTAGTATGGTTGTTTAGTTTACAAGGAACTCAGTGACCCTAATATGAGTAATAATCCGTTTCAAAAAAAACAATATGAGTAATAATGTGTCTGTTTGTCCTCTTAAGCAATCAATATTAGGAAAATTCAATTGAAAATACTGCATATCTGAAGCTAAAGTAAATAAGTAGTGCTTCGAATTTGCTTCTGGCTAACAGAACTGCACTATTTTAATCTAATTTTAGATCATTGGGCATTCAATGGGAGCTGGGATTGCTGCGATATTAACATACATGCTACGCGAGGACAATAAGTTATCATCAGCCTCATGTATTGCGTTTGGACCAGGTACATAATCCAAGTAGAAACGAAGATTTGGCTATCAAACACATCAGTATCAACAAAAAAAAAAGTAAAAGATAAAAAATCATGGCATGCTAACTTAAGAACATGGATTCTTGTCAACACTTTACACTGATATAATTTCTTAGTTTTGAAATATAAAAGTAGCTAATCTAAAACAGAGTACTATGTAGGAGCAATCATAAGTTTCCACAACAAAGCTGTCACATTCCCCTTTTCTTGGTATCTGGTTGCAAGATGTGCCATATAAACACCTGTTATTAGATGTGCTCCTATGGTATTCTAACACTTTGAAGTGCTCCTGTCCAGCTGCTTGCATGACCTGGGACTTGGCTGAGTCAGGCAAAGACTTCGTTACCTCTGTTGTCAACAAAAACGACATGGTGCCATCTTTCGGCAAAGCTTCAGCTTCCAACCTTCGCACAGAGGTTAGAGGTACCCCGTGTTTACTGAGTTTCAAGTAGTAGTGACGTCTGGAACTATGAAACACACTTTCTCCCATTAATTAATAGCCTTTAAGTTGTCTTAAAATCTTATGCAGGTTATGGCATCGTCATGGGCTCCAGACCTCCAAGAACAAATTCAGCAAACAAGAATCTTGGGTTTTGTAAATAGCTCTGTGAATTTCATGCGATCCCACATTCCCTTTGTATCAAACACAGGGTCTGACAACACTCCTATGGTAAACCCTAAACACCATGTTCTTTGAAGAAACTCATTGTATTACTGTCATATTGATGTGGAGTCTCCTAAATACATTCTATGATGTTTTTATTTGTAATACGCTGAATTGATTCCTCATGCCATCGCAGGATGAGTTGAACCTTTCCGCAAATGTGCGTGCCGCTGTGCAGAAGCACTCTGCACTGTCCCGCTGGTCATCTGTCGCTGTTAATACCCAAATCCTGGAGTCTCTGGTGAACCCCACTCAGGGCATTCCAGCATTGATGTCTGCATACAGAGGAACTGAACAAAACACTGAGAAGCCAACAATTGCAGTAGAACCAGCCTCATGCTGTCCTGGAGAACTCAACCGTGAGAGATCAGATGCTGTGGAGATTGACCCAGAGGAGAAAGCAACAGACGAAGAACACATGGATCAGCTTCTGAAGGCCTTGCGATCATCGCAAATGGCCTCCCCGGAGCCTCACCAGCTGTACCCTCCGGGCAGAATCATGCACATGGTTGAGCTACCAGCACCAGAAGAGCCGAGCACCGGCGAGCAATGCCACCAGAATGAGGTAGTTGCCATCTATGAGACCCCTCGCAGCATGTATGGCAAGATCCGGCTGGCGAGAACCATGATCAGAGACCATTACATGCCGAGGTACATCGAGGCGATGGAGATGCTGATCGACAAGCTTGCAGAGGATGAGGATGACACCGACAACCGGTAGATGAACCCCAAAAAAACAGGAAGGAAGAAGATTGATAGGGAGTATTGATAGTATAGATAACTTGAACTTACTTATGACTTCAGGCTAGAATCCAGATTAGTGCAGATTGTTGTATCGTCAGCCATTGCAGGAAGAGCAGAAACGTCTGTGTTTGTTGCTGAGGGTTGAAGGAACGACTACTGTTATGTTGTGTATTAGCAGTACTTCAGGATTACATTTTAGATAAAAGAATTCAGTGAACAATTGTGATTCATTAACTTGAGAATGCTGAATGTTTGCTGTTTGGTTGTCCGTGACGTTTGTAAATAAGCAGGGGCAATATTTTAATTATTGGGTTGCGATTATTAGTTGTGATTCCAACCAGGGTGTTGGTTGTAAATATGAGAGGCTATATGCAGTAAAAATAAATACGATTCAGTTTAGGGATCTAATTAGAAAATTTTGGGGACTGTTTGCAAATATTCAGGCAAAAAATGGACCAAAATGGGGGTACACTTTGACTTCAGATGCAGGTGATCTTACAAAGTTCAGGCCAAAATGCCAGTTAGAGACGAGTTCGAAAATGGACAGTAATCATAATGTGGGAACTCTGAAAGTTTGCACACTGCATTGAAGGACAGGTTATAGACACCATCAGTCTCAGCTACATGATCTTCTACAGTCTCAGCTGGGCACTGTTTGAGAGGTGCTCTCCGCGCTTGCCACGCGGTCTCAGCTGGGCACTGTTACTGATCTCAAGGATGCCTGTCTCCTTGATTTGACAGGCCAGTTCAAGCTCATCCCTTGTAGACGCAGTGGCTTGTCGACCCAGCGGACACGGGCAGCCACAGGCCTGCAGCATCTGGAGCAGCTCGGTGGAGAGCACAGACCTCAACCCACCCAGCAGCTTCAGCTTCTTCAGCCTCCCACACGCCGCTTGCAGCGCCATCTCAAACCCTTCAATGGAGACCCAGGAGAGGTGAACCATCTTCACGTCCTGGAGACACCTCAATGAGCCCAGCAGATGGCAAAGGCCCAGGCCAGTGACTTGACAGTAGGAGATAGTAAGCTGCAAACAAGCCGGACAGCAACCTGTAATGTCCCTGATGCTTCACAAAATACAAAAGGAGAAGATGAAGTTGTTGAGTTCTTTACTTGTCTAAGGTTCTGGGAGTATCTTGAAAGAGCCCACAGGCTAGCATCATCCACAGAGTAACAGCGTTTAAGGTCCAGTTCTATCAGGCTAGCGCAACCAATGGCGATGGAGGTGATCCCGATGCCTGTGATGCGCACCAGGCATCTCAGCTCCAGGTTTGTGAGTTCTTCCAAAGCGCTTACATGCTTCAAACCAGCATCGGTGATTTGGGTGCAATAGCATAAGTTTAGCATCCTGATCTTCTTGCAGCCACTAGCTACAGCTGCCAGCCCATCATCAGTAATAGCACTACAACTGTGGGAAAGATAAACAACATGCTTTAGTTTAGAGACCAATGATTAATCAATAAATAATTTCTAAAGCATAAATATAAACATTGATTACCGGTATAGATCAAGTTCCACAAGCTTTCCACAGTTTGAACTAATATAAACAAGGCCTCCATCAGAAATGCTAGAGCAGAGGCCAAGCTTCAAGATCAGCAGTTCCGAGCAACTTGCCAAGTGCTGCAAAGCTGAAAATGTGGGATTTTGAAATGATGAGCTCAAATTTAGGAATGAACTTTTCCTATAAAAAAATATGGCACAGCTATTTTTCAGTTACCTGCATCATTAATACGACAGTCAGTGAGGTCAATCTCCTTAAGGTGGGAACAGAGGGTTGCGATTTGCTCTAGTCCCTTCTCACTTATAAAAGGGCAGGATTCCAGTCGAAGGCATTCAATCTTTCTACAGTTCTCGGCAATTGCAGCAAGGGCATCATTTGTAAGAAGATGGCAGCATGTCACGTCGATAGTCCTTAAGTCACAACAATGAGCAACTAGTGAAACAATACCATCATCTGTAACACCATTGCATTTGCTAAGCCCAATCTCAACCAAATTCTTGCAGGTAGAACCAATTGCCTGAAGATTTGAGGCAAAGATTTCAAGGCCATCGAGTCTTAAAACAGTCAAAGTTTCTCCTATTGTTGATAATTTGCTCAGAACGCAAGTCTCTATCTCCTGCAAGTGCGACCGCAGAAGGTGAACAAACACTGGAATTGCGAATTTTACTGCTTAAATGAAATCATGGATTCGTATCATTTGTTCTGAGAAAGACAAAGAAGGAACTGTACTCACATGCAAACTGTGTCCGACATTTATTTTTTGGAGAAATCTTTGACCATCTATGAGTGAAGCTAAGCCCAGAGAAGACACATGGTTACACCTCGATACATCAATACTCTAAAACAGGTGAGATTGAAAATATAGTAAGCACAGAGGCACGGAAGAAAAGCTGGCATCATAGTTTACAGTATGATGAAGTTCATACAAGATCTGCATCCTTGCAAGGTGTTATACCTGAAGCGAGTTGCACATACTTAGCATTTGTAGACCATCATCATCTATAAACAAGCAGCTGACCATTGCTATGTCCTCTAGCTTCTCAAGAGTAGAGAGTGATCTAAGGGATTCATTGGTCACCTGGGAAACAAGTCATAAGAAATTTGAGCATTCTTGGATACGAACAAGAAACAATCAGAACCGTCAAGTCACATTAGGTATATACTATATACAATGTAGGTAGATAGCAGGTGTGTATATGTTGTGTAGTCAAATGGGAGAGTGAACCATACCCTTCTAAGTGAAATTTAGTAGTCTTATTCACCAAATTTGTTGACCGAACCTAAGTTTATTCAACGGAATTCCAATGGACTTTAATTCTCTAACATCAAGAGCCAAAATTAATAGAAAGAAGAATTGACCAAGCAATGTCAAGGTGCTAAGCATTTCTGATCACAGAGCTTCTGATTTACGCTGTGTCGAGACAAAATATTCTTTGTTATTGTTGTTGTTGTAAGAAGCAACGACACTTTACCAGCAAGGAAAAGCTGGAATGCTGAAAATGCATCAAATATTCATGAGAGAACCAGCCCAAACACTAATAATAAGAATAATTTCTAATGAAAACGGACTCCTACAAACAATTTATAATTGAAGCATTTCACTCGCTGGACATTGCACTCGCTGTACTCAGTCCACATATCATTGAATGCTACGAATTCCGGAGAAGTCAGGTGGTCCGGTCACAAGCAGTACCAATTGATTTGATGAGAGCAATCTCAATTTTTTTCCTCAGTCCTACTGACACTACTAACCAAATTTGAGATTGGGACAACAAATTTGAGGTTGAGACGCTACCTTGAGATAGGAGATGTCGACGCTGCGCAGTTGGGGGCACTTCTTGGCGAGCAGCTCGATGCCGATGTCGGAGATCTCGCGGCACCACTTGACGCTGAGCCTCTGGAGGCCGGGGCATCCGACGGCGACCTTGGCGAGCCCGACGTCGGTGACGCCGAGGCACTTGTCCATGACGAGCTCCCTGAGCCCCGCCGCCGCGGCGAGCGCGGCCATCTCCCTGTCCCCGGCGGCGACGCAGTGGGAGAGGTCGACGGCCTCGAGCCTCGGGCACGCCGCCACGAGCGCCTCCAGGCCGCGCCACCCGACCCCGCTGGCCCGCGCGAGCAGCACCCGGCGGACGGTCAGCAGCAGCTGGCCCGGCGGCGGATCGGCGGCGCCGGCGCCGGGGCCCGGGACGGGAAGCGCGGCGGCGAGGGAGGCATCGTCGAGGCCCGCGCACGCGGAGAGATCGAGCGAGGACAGCGCCGGGAACGCGCGCAGCGCCCGCGGGAGCGCCTCCCGGCGGAGCACCCGCGCGGCGCGGCGGGACGCGGCCTCGGCGCGCGCGAAGGCGCGGCTCGCGAGGCGGCACGACTTGCGGTCCCGCGGGTCCCCGACCCCCGCCAGTGCGTGGGCCAGCAGGTCCAGCGAGAGGGACTCCACGCCCGCGCCGGCGCTGGACCCGGAGTCGTGGCTCATCGCGGTGGTGCGTGCGATGGGCGAGATCCGATGGATCCCGCGGGTGGACTGGACGGTGGCGAGCGCGCGGCGGGAAGCTCGAAGGGCGGAAGGCTTCGGTTCGCTATCTAGCTGGATAGGAGGCGAAGACTGCGGCGAGTGGGAGGTGGTCAGCGGCGGCGGGGGAGAAGAGTGGTTGGTTGCAGTGGTGGCTGGCGGCGCGGCGAAGGGAGGGCGGGTGGTGGGTGGAGAGAGAATGCGAGGGGAGCTTTGGCTGTTGCGCACAGGAGTTGTGTTTATTAGGCCTTTTTCGGTTCCTCTCCAGAAGTTTACTTCATATCAATTGAATGTTTAATACATGTATAGAGTATTAAATATAGATTAAAAATTAATTAATTATATAGATTATGACTACTTTATGAGATGAATCTTTTAAGTCTAATTAGTCTATAATTTGACAATGTGGTGCTACATATGTGGATTAATTAGACTTAATAAATTCGTCTCGCGGTTTACTGACGGATTCTGTAATTTGTTTTTTTATTAGTATCCGAACACCCTATGCGACATCCATGTAACATCCGATGTGACATCAAAAATTTACGCCCTGGATTTAACACAAGGCCTTAATGGTGGTGGAAGTAGGAAGCAAGGAAGTGTCACTGAGGTAACTGACAGATGGGCCCAGGTGCAGCGGATGATGTTGTCTGTGTAGTTCTCGCGGATAGGTCCTTGAAAAATTGTGATATTGCAACAATGGCCCGTCGTAGTGTACGGGTACAATGCTATGTTGCACTGCAGCTCTAGTCACCTGATAAACCAAATGCTAATACTATGATTCGGGCATTCGTTCGGGCGTGTGCATCCGGACGCGCCCCGTTCTTGGGTCTGCGCGGCGAATCGGGCCCAACATCCTCTCTCCTTCATCTCTAACCAGCGACATAACCCCACCAACGAAAATCCCAACTCACTTCGCTTGCCATGGCTTCAATGCATCGGGCGTCCGAACCGCTCCGCGCCAACGCCCCCATCCCTCTTCGCTCCGCATCTGCCGCCATGCCGCGCCCACTCCTCCAGAACCTCATCGACGCCAGCGTGGTCGACGAGTCGGACGTCTTCAACGGCGCGGGGGACGACAACGACAACCTTCTCCGGACACTCATCAACTCGGACCTCCCTAGCAGGAACCTCAGCCTCGGCATGTGGAAGCTCCTGGCTGTCACGGCGCTCTCCTTCGCTGGCATGCCCACGCTGCTTGGGTATCTCGTCCAAGCAGCAAGGTGACATTGAGCAATGCATGGTGCAAGCTTACGTTTCAAGTGTTTCAGATATTTTATCTTGATGTTGCAAAAGTAGATCGTGATGTTGCACATGTTGCAATGGCTATACGTGTCTGTTTCAAGTGCATGTTTCAAATGTTTCATCTGGTTTTCCTAGACGTTCATTGCATGTGTTTTATCTGGACGTTGTATATGTTTCACACGTATGTTGTAACTATTTTATCTGGATGTTTCGTATGTTTACAATGGTTTTCAAGAGTTTCATATGCTTTTGCAAGTGTTTCAGACGCTTGTTGCAAGTGTTTCAGCTATTTCGTACGAATGTTGCAAGGATTTTATCTGGATGTTTCAAATTAGTTCGAGATATTGCACATGTTGCAAAGTGACTCACCTGTTCCTCAGAGCAGCAGATGTCGATGACAGGCGTAGAAACGGACTACAGCCACGAGCGTCTGTCCGAACACCCGGGCGCTAGTAATGTCATCGTAAACCAAAACACGTACAGTAATCCGCTAAGAAATAAACCAAGGGCCTGTTCGTTTGGAGGAATTCTGGAGGAATTTGGATGGTTTGAAGAAATGCTGAAGTAATTTACGAGAGAAAACACGGTTCCGGATAAAAAAAAAAGCGAATCAAGCCAATTTAAGAGCACGCGAACGAGGCCTAACAAAAGAGGGATCCAAGCCCTCATCCGTAAGACTATGTTTTCTCCGGGGCCGGAGAACTTAAAATCGCCTAGATGCGGAAGCTTCCGTATAGGATTCCATGTGACTTCAAGTGGGCCCGCCCCACATGTCAAGAATGAGGCATCGCGGAGACTTTCCGTACGGTCCGCCCGTGGGGGTCCCACAAGAGGAGCATGGCCAGCCGTACGTATCCAAGGACGGGCGTACCTGTGCGACCTCCTGCTGGTGCCGGTACTGACTTGTCATCTCAATCTATCTCGACGAAAAGAAAACACAAGAAAAGGGAAAAAGAGTCAACGCATGACGTGTCCCAACGACGACGGCCAGATCGGATCTGAAATTTCAAGGTTGTTCATTCGTTCAAGACGTAGGGAACGTGGTAATTTCGCCTTTTGGCATTTTCATTGGGGGTTGAATTCAGCGGTATCTTCGTTATGACAAAGTGTACATCTATACTTCCCGAGCCAGAGTCTATAGTCCCGACGATGGCGGGAGCCAAATAAAAATGTACGAGAGCAATATAGTAGCTTGATCTTTTCTTTTCATGTACGTTTCCAATGGGCCGGCCGGACATTGCTAGATTTTTGTATAATGCCCTGTTTATCGGTTTTAATGTTCATTTGCTCAGATAAATCAGTTTTAATGTTCAACCACTATATGCCAACCCCTTGTCATCCCTTCGTGCTGTGTGAAACCGGGCTTGGAAAGATGCTGAATTTTGATACATAGGGTTTATTGATGTGAATTTTGGTATATATAGACTTATAAAAAAATGACTTCGGTGATATACATATATGAATTTTGATATATTGACGTGTTATGCATTTTGATATATTGACTTTAGTGATATGAATTTTGATATATAAGGTTTATTGATGCGAATATATATATATATATATATATATATATATATATATATATATATATATATATATATATATATATATATATATATATATATATATATATATATATATATATATATATATATATATATATATAGACTTATAAAAAAATTGACTTCAGTGACAAACATATATGAATTTGGATATATTAACTTTAGTGTTTATGCATTTTGGTATATGATAAATATTGACTACAGTGATTTGAATTTTGATATATAGGCTTTAGTGATGTGAATTTTGATATTTGTAGACTCATGAAAAAAAATTTGACATTAGTGATATACATTTTCGTGTATGAAAAATATTGTCTCCAGTGAGATGATTTTTTGATATATTGACTTTAGTGAGAAGAGATGGCTGGACGTCGTCTCCCTCCGCCAGAAGTCATAGGTTTCAGCGGCTATGTAAAGTGGATGGGATTTGACCAGTGTTGCCGAATGTACCATTTAATCATTCAAGCATAGTAAGTAACTCTATACGTTTTCAATAAATTAATGTGTCAAATATGCTTGTATAAATATATTTTCTTATATGTATATATATATGTGATTCGTAAATATACCATAGGTAATTGACCCAATCATTTGGCTTAAAGAGACATTCTCAAATTTCAGGGTTCAGGCAGTGGATGTTTAGACCTTTCATGTAGATAATGGTCCATTAATCCAATGTCGAATTGGCTTTTCCATCGCCGCTAGGAGGGGTAGAGGTGTTGTACAAATCTCAGAGATGGGAATAAAGGCACTCCAGCAGACTGTTGCACAAAAATATGATGTCATTGCATGTGTAACTAAGCTTGCGAATATTGAGTACACCCTGCCTACACTATCCTCCGTGCTGATACAAACTATAAATGCGGACATGTGTCATGATGTTCAGGGCTTCTGTGCAAGCATTGCTCGGAACAACCGAAATCAAGTGGTAAAGTCAAAGTCGAACTCATAGCTTATATCTGGATTTGTTGTTATATGTTGCAAAGCTTGGTTCTCATAACCTTTTTTTCTGCCAACACTTATAGGTTGAGGACTATGACAACCTACAAAGGGTGCAATTTTAAAGCCATTCTAAACCAGATAATGTATCAATTGGGTTATGATTAGAAATATGCTCATGAATGGACAACACTCACTACGGAAGGATTTCAAGCAAAGCTACTTGTGACTAAGAGGGGAGACCCACCGACTTCTCGAGCACCATTAAACGTCGTTAGTAGACCCTGTGCTCGTAGTTGTGAAGCAAGGGAGAATGCACTAGTTAATGCGTTGGTCTTCATCAATGATATTTTTGGATACCACATCGGTGACCTACACTTCACCGAATTGAAAAAACGAGAAAGTGAACTTCATTAAGTAGTAGTGGTGACATACTATGTTTGCAAGGACTTTGGGGAGTACTTGGACATGTAGTGTGTAATGTCTTGGTTTAAATTTATTATGGTTTGTATAAAATTTGATTGTGGGATGGATGATCATTGTAATATACAACATTTTACTTAATTAGTTTCACTCTTAATACGTGCGTACAATATTCAATGCAAAGAAACCGTAAAAGAAAAGAAGAAAAGAAAAAAAAGAGACATTCAGTCCCGGTTGGTATAACCAACTGGAGGGTGTAATACGTGGCTGCGCCTAGAGCCCGGGCTGGAGCCGCCTTTACTCCCGGTTGGTATTACCAACCGGAACTAGAAGTCCCTAATCAATCCTGGTTGAGGGGACTGGGACTAAAGTCGGGCCTTTGGTCCCGGATTGCAGTCCCGGTTGGGAAACCGGGACTAGAGTGGGTTTTCTAACCGGGAATAAAATCCACTCCTACACTAGTGGACGTAAATGCTAATACTATTTTACTATAAATGTGGTTAAATTTGAACTAATTTGATCGGCGTGGATATCATAGTTGCATTCTTTCGTGGACGGAGGGAATACGAGACTGACCTTCTACATGACCTTAAGCTCAAAAGCTTGGGGATCGACTTCTTGTAATGTGTGGTACATGCCTTAAACATAAGGGATGTTGGCCTTGTAATGTGTGTTCTGATGATCAATTGGCGGATGGCTTCACCAAACCAATAGTGGCGTCCAAGTTGGCTCAATTCAGAAGCAATCTCAATCTAGTGGCCGGTTGAGATTGAGAGGGGTGTTAAGGTATGCGTT